TGTATCTCAAATTAGTTTTTTACATTCATTTAATATAGATTCAGAGGTTCATGTTTGCCTTGTCATGTACTTTGAGTACTAATAATTGAGGTCTAAATTGCCACTCAGTATTAAAAAGAAACTTTCAGTTAAAAACATCATATTACCACAGGGATTACAACTGAGATGGAAAAAGGCATAAAATTATATAAAAATAAACTATTATATTATTTTTTAAAAAATCACATTAAAGTTTAACTACTGAATAGAGATATGATTTTTTTTTTTTACTTAGGAGTGAACATGGATATCAGCAGTGTGAATGTGGTAATTAATTCACAGCCAGAGTGAAACCAAAGGTGGAATTGCTCAGGGGAAGGCCCCTAGACACTGGCATTATTCTTTGCAACAGACTTGCAGCATCTTATGAATGCTGTTTTCTCTCATTTATCCTTTATTCCTTTGACAAGTAGTAACTCAATATGGAAACACTGCCTAGAATCCTTACCACTGAGCATTTTAATTCTGTCAACTACATTATCAGCATTGAATGAAAACAAATGAAAACTTAGGGCTTTGGTTTTCATCCACATAGTAGTTTTAAGTAATCTATTTCCATGGGAGAGAGAGTACTCTTAGCACTTTTGATACCAGGAAATTTTGTCTAAGGGCCACAAAAAAAAATCAGTCTAGAAATGTATGTTTGGTTGAATTTTCAAAGAATAAAGTCATCTCCCCTTTAGAACAAAAGCTATATTAGTCCAAAAGCTATATTAGTCCATTCATTCATTCATCATCGATTCCCACAATTATTCAACCACTAATTGAAAGTTATGTATCAACCCTGGTCTCAATAATAGGCATACAGCTGGGAGTAAAGCAAAGGCTTTTGTTCTTAGGACCCTTGCCTTCTTGGGTAATAGAGTGAAGAAAATAATAGACACATGCCTGTCATGTGATGCTCTGGAGGAATATAAAAGCAGAGTAAGTGGCATGGGAGTCAAGGCTTGGTGTTGGGAGCTGTTGCTGCTTTTCTTAAGTGAAGGCGAGGGACACCTCTCAGTCAGTGACATACAGAGAGCTGTGTAGACATCTACTGGAAGAATAAACCGACTAGAGGGGGGATCATTCCTGGAGGCCTGCTGGACAGCAAGAGGGCTGCTGCAGTTGGAGGAGAGGCCATGAGATGGGGGAAAGTGGTTGGGAGGGTGGTCAGAGGGACAACAGGGACCTGCATCAGGTAGAGCTCTAGAGCTTCTCTGAGTGGGAATCCACTGAAAGATTTTGAGCAGAGTGACTGCTTGAGCCTTTATTTCAGGATTACCTTGAATTTTAGGTGAGAAATGACTATACAGAAGGGTAGAGATGGAGGAAAGTAGTTCAAATTCTAGTCAGTATGTTTTGTCAAAAAGCAAAAACACTGATACTTGATTGTGTAGGCTCCTCACCACTCTGTGCTTTATTAGTAAAGGTAATAATTGTATCTATCTCGACACACATGATTATCAGCACAATTGAGCCATACTAGTAATAACTGAATATGTAAAGTGTCAATATGCTTTGGAGATTAAAAAGTTAAGTTCTATAGTTAATATATTAATCTAGTATTAATTTACTTCTGGAAGTTCTTTCTCTTCTCTCCCATTTTTACTTAAGAATGTACCATTCTTTCAATCAGTCACACCTAAACTTCTCATTTGTGACTCCTCATTCTCTCTCCTCTGTACATCCTGGTTCTGTTGTTACCGTTAAGTCTCCCAAATCCATCCCCCTTTCCTGCTATTCCCAATTTTAAATTAAGCTCTCATTTCATCTCAGTTAGCCAACCAATTGTTTTTTCTAATTCATGGGAAATGCAGCAAAAAGAACATAGGTTTTGAAGTGTTACCATGATTCAGATTGGTTCATAACTTTATTCTTACATGTAACCATAGGGACTTTTGCATCTTTTGAATCTCAATTGTGCCTCTATACGATCTAATTTATAGAATTATAGAATTGCAATGATGATTAAATGGGACCGTGGAATGTGTAAAGTGTCTGCGGGTAATACATACTTAGAAACTGCCTGTTCGTTCCAGCATTCACTCTAACCTTAACCCACCTGGCAGATCCTAATTGGTAGCTCAAATTATGTCATTTCCCTTGTCAAAAACCTCTATGGCTCCCTCATGTCTCTCGTGTTAAATGTAAGCACTTTTGCCTTGCATTCTGAGCTCCAATTCTCTAACTTCAATTTCCAGCTTTCCCTCTTGTTCTTTTCCACACATTCTACTTCAAGTATTAACCAAAAACATTGTTTTATAATTCTGCTGCCACTTTCATATATAATAGTAAAATCATACCCATACCTAAATCCTGCCACAGAACCCATTACTTTAACAGAGCTACTAACAATCTGGAAGTGGTTTCTCCCTATCTTGAAAGGTCATTGCACTTTGAGGAGGCAACATTGTGTTCTTTCTTTGAAGCCTGAAAGTTCAGGTTCTGCTACTGATTGTCATTCTGGGATATTGTTCTGTCCCTGCACCTCAGTTTCCTTTGACAAATGCAGACAATAGTGCCTACTTACAGGGTTGTTATGAGGATAAATGAGATAATACATGTGAAACAATTTGAATAGTACAACTTAGAAAGCTTAAATAAGTTTCTATAATGTTGACATAAGTAATAAACATTACCATATTATCAGGATTTATATTTTACAAGGACTTCAAATTAAAAACTGCCTGAGACAGATGTAAAGTGACATGGACTAGAATTGAAGATCCATATACTTGATTCTAGTACTGGTTCCCTGTACTAAACAAGCTGTGTGATGCTATGTCAGTCTTTCTGAACTTTTTTTCAGCTACAAAATGAGAGTCAGACAAAATTCACTTAAGCTCTCTTTCATTTTACCTAACTATATGAATGCTGAGTTAGATACCTCCGCATTAAGTCAACCAAAATAGAATTTTTTTAAAGATTTATTTATTTATTCATACAGAACTGGGGTACAGGCCAGAGATGTGGAGGGTGAGAGGATTCACCAGAGACAGAGTGGGGAGCAGAACAGGCAGATGGACAAAGTACACTGCTGAGGGGAGCAGCAGGCGGGTCAGGAGAGGTCTGCCACTCCATGTGGAGTGGCACTCCCTCCGGGGCAGGCAGGCATCGAACTCATGTGGAAGTGGCTTAAGCTTCTTAGTGCTGTGCTTTAACCCACTGCGCCACCAGGAAGGGCCTCCAAAATAGAATTCTTAACCAACTCTCCTTTACATGCCTATCCATCTCTTGCTTGTACTTTTATCAGACTCCTAGTTCACCTTTCTGCATCCATCCTTGCCCTCTTTTAACTTATTTTCTGCAGAACCATAGGGATATTTGAGACATAAGCCAAAAAAAAAAATTTCACTTTCCTGCTTAAAACTCTCCCTTTTTTTCTTAGAACGACATTCACACTCCTTTACACCTTAATACTGCCACCTTCTTTAAGCTTCAGCTGCATTGCCCTTTATGCTTTTCGTGCTAACTCACCAAACTCATGTCTGCTTTGGACCTTCGAACTTGCTATTCTCTATGTGTGGTATGTGCCCCAGCTGTCAGAATGACTTGCTCCTTCTTGACATTTAGATCTCAGCTCTTCCTTTTGTCTTAGAATGTTATCATACCATCCCGCTTCCCCCCTAAAGTTTTCTGTTTTCTCAAAGTAGCTTCCTTGCCTCATTCATCCATCCATTCATCTCTTTCTCCTACAGTATAAATTAAGTATCCTCATTTTTGTATGATTTCCTAGTACAGCACCTGGCATATACTAAATGTGTGTGTGTGTGTGTGTGTGTGTGTATAAACTGACCATATGAAGAAATAAATATTAACCCATTTTGAGATATGAAAGGTTAAACTAATTACATGAGCCAAGTATGATGTGTGTATGTGTTTTTGTGTGTGTGTGTGTGTATATGTGTTTTTTAATATGAAGGCCTATTGCTTTTCTCATGGAATCCTTCATATGGAGTAAGTATTACCAAGCCATATGTGCTTGTGACAGAAATCAAACTGGAAATAAAAAAGTACTAATACAGACTATCTATGTCACTTTACATCTGTCTCAGGCAGTTTTTAATTTGAAGTCCTTGTAAAATATAAATCCTGGTAATATGGTAATGTTTATTATTTATGTCAACCCCATGGCTGTCGAATTTACCATAATCTTCATCTCCTCTTTCACATTACCATCTTTGAGCAAATTTTATCTTCTATGCAAGAGGATTTCCTACTCTCTGATCTTTCCCGTTTGCTTCTAATCTCCAATAACCGATTGTTCACTCTGCAGCCACAGCTTTTCAGTCGCTATTATACCCATGTTCAGAAACCAATGGAGTTTTTCATTGTTCTCAGGATAAAGACCAGAATCTGCCCCGGTCCACCACCTCGGGTCACACCAGCCTCACTCTCCACCCCAGGCCATACTCCCTCCCTCCGCGCCGGTTCCCGCCAGCCTCTGGGCCGGCCGCTTTAACACCCAGCTTCCAACAGTTCTACCCAGCACCCTAGTCGCCAATTTCTTCGGATCTCAGGAGATTGTCTCTTACTCAGGAAATTCTCCCTGGTTAGGCCAGCCGCACACCCCATCACAAATCCCCACGAACCTCTCTTTAGCACTCTTGATTTAAAATACATACTCGAGAAAATGATAACTTTACCAACACGCATTAATGCTAGCTGTTTGCGGAAGAAACACGCTAATTAGCCGCCCAATTACTCCTGGCCCCTCCCTAAGTACGGCGGCACATCTATTACGCATTAAGTAGGCGCCACCATGTGAGACTTTGCTGCGCGCCTGCGCGAAGGAGCACGCATGCGCAGAGGAACCAGCCCGCTGACAGATTCGCGGCGGCGGCGGCGGCGGCGGCGGCGGCGGCGGCGGCGG